TCACGTTCTTGCTCCGATTGAAGGGATTCTTGTTGCGTCCGAAAGATCTTCTCAAGATCTATCATCACAAATACCTGCTCAAACAAAATAACACAAAACACATTCCCAAACTCCAGAACACACCACGCACAAATTCTTGCACACGTTCAAACCACACATGCAAGTTGAAAACATGGGATGGGAGGTAGACAGAATGTGATGGCATATGATGACATCACACAACAGTCATCAAGTACACGAGGCAACCCACCAGCTCTGCGTAAGGACCAGTGGGCTCTACTAACTCCTCAGGAACTGGAGCAGAGAGCCTGTGATCTACTGACAAAGGTGTGGGCTGTGCGGAGGAGAACTGCAGACCGAACCTCTGAAGGACCTGGCACACCAAGTGTGACTGTGCGAGAGTGATGGTGCGCACTGCTCTGTCCCTGGAGATCTGCAGGCCCAGGTAGCATTGCAGCTCTCCTAGGTTATTGCAGGTGTGTCTCCTCAGCGGCTCAACCTTCACGGAGGCCAGTGCGTCTCCGTCTGCAGTAGCGAAGACCAGGTCGTCTACAGTGGCGGAAAGTGTTGTCCACATGTTTGTGACTTAGAGGAATTTTGCCATTTTAGGGGGTCATGGACATTAAGCCTTAATCTTTTAGTGTGCCTAGTGTATGTAGGTTGGGGTAAGGCTCTACGCCCATGTCTTACATCTCACAAAAATAATGATGTTTACAACGGATAACAGAAAATAACAATCTTGGTACATGTGGACAATTATTGCCAGGCACAAGCAGCAAGTTACATCAACCCCAAACTAGTACCTAGTCCACCGCCCTTTCGCCTTAATCACCACCCTCACCCTCCTGGGCATGCTTTCCACCAGGTGGGTGCACACATCCGCCGGGATCTTCTCCCATTCCTCCTGCACACGCTCCCAAAGATCCACCATACCAGTGGGAGGCTTCTCGTGCTTGGCCAGCTGCCTCTTGAGATGAGCATACTCAGATAGAGCTGCCCGTCCATCCTACCATCTATTTTGCACTTGAAACCCGCGCCATCATACGACATGCACCCCCAAATCATCAAGCAGCCGCCCCCATGTTTGACGGTCTGCTTGATTTTGGTGGCTTTGGAGGGCAGCACCTTCGCGAACCCAGGCATAGGAGCGTCCATCGGAAGCAAACCGATTGATCTTGGTCTCATCCGACCAGATCACCCGCTTCCATTCGTCAACCGTCCAGTCGGCGTGGGCACGGGCCCATTCTAGCCTGTCGCGTATGTTTTTCCGAGAGATTTGTGGCTTCTTGGGCTACTGGATTGCGACTAGTCCGCTGCCGTTCAACGCATAACGCACCGTCCTAGGATGCAGCGTGATGCCGTGCTGCATCTCGACTATCTTCGCCGCGTGAGCGGAGGTTTTGGCCTCCCCGCTAGTAATCGCCCGAACTATGCCGCGGCGAATTCTCTCCGTCACTAAGTGAGGGCGACTGGCTGAGGGCATCGTGGGATGCACGGCATTGCGGCTAGACTCCTCAATCGCCTTAGGTCCCTAATCGTGGACTGTGCTCTTGCCCACGCCTAGCTGTTTAGCAATTCGACGAGTGCCATACCCCCTCCGCAACAGGGTAATGATCCGTGCGTGGTGCACCTCATCTATCGGTTTTATGACGGCCTAATCGTCGCAGCGGTCCTCGCCTATCTTTTGACTACTTGATAGTCGCGAGGGCAAGTAAGAAGGAATAGCGAGGCTAGGAAATAGATCTACTACGCTACTTGGCTTGAACTGTCCGGATGCACCCACGTAAAAGAAATCTCATCCTCGGTAAAAAATCGACCCCTATAAAACTGTAACCAGCATCCGTCACATACAGTACAGTACTACTTTACAGCCAATGCCGAAATTTGATTCGTAACTAAACAAAAAAGGCACCAAACTGGTACGAGAAATGTTTTAAGGCAATTATCCGGGCAATACTTTCCGCCACTGTACGAAGACAAGGATGTAGAACGGAGACTGGCCAGTACGTACGAAGAGCGAAGGGATTGCAGAGGATGGAAAGAACTGCAGGTCAGCTAGCGTAGCACGCAGTGTGTCGTGCCACTCACGGGGCACCTGTCGCAGGTCGTAGACCGCGCGTCGGAGGAGCCACTGGGTCCAAGGATGGAAGGTACCAGTGAAGCCCTGTGGTCGGCACAGGTAGACCTGCTCATGTAGGCTGCCCTGAAGAAAAGCAGTGGAGAAGTCTAGGGAGTGGAGCTCGTACTCATTATGAGCTGCTACATGTAGCAGCGCCCGAAGAGTAGTCATCTTCGAGGTCGGGGCGCAGGTCTGAAAGAAGCCCACCCCCTCTCGCAGTTTGAAGGCTCTTGCCACGTAGCGTGCCTTGAAGACAAGCGGCTCTTCAGGGGGGCGCTTCACCTTGAAGAGCCACCGGCCATCGATTACGTTCACCCTAGGTGGGGGAACTGCGTCGACGCAGGTGCCGGTGGATCTCCAAGATGCCATATCCTGCTCCATGGGAGCTATCCACTGAGAGGCTCAGGGTCACGAGGTCGCCTCAGCAAATTGCAAGGGGTCGGGATGTCAAAGGCGTCTGGGTCACCCTCAGGGACTAGCAGCATGGAGCAAAGATGAGGAGCAGCCTCGGACAGGAAAGCAAGCTCGTACTACCTGTCCTCTAGGACGTCACTGCCAAGGGCAGAAGCACCCCCGACGGACAGAGGACGGGCAGGGTCACAGACCAGAGCGGTGGTGTAGTCAAGGCAGCGGGTAGAGGCAAAGCCAGTAACAGCAACGACTAGAGCGTTAAGACTCGAGACAGGAACAGACGGGTCGGTAACAAGGGAGGCAAGGACCCGAGGAACAAGAGGACGAGTGGCACGAAGGTATTCAGACAGAGAGGGAGGTGCGACACCGGTGCCACCCCCGAGCCCGCCGGGACAAGCCACGACAGGAACCCCAGGACTAGCACCCTCCTCAATGCCATCAACCCCAGAGTCCATGAACGGCTGCTGCTGCTGCGACGGTGGCGGCGGTGGCGGCTGCTGCGGCGGCGGCGGCGGCGGAGGCTGCGACGGCGGAGGAGGAGACACTGGGGGAGAGATGGGCGGCAAAAAGTGTGCCGCACTGCCACCAGAAACGTCCGCGTACGTGCACTGGGAGGGAGCACCGCCCTGAAGGATAGGGACTGCCGCCACACCGCTCGACTGAGCAATAGTGCGCTGTCGAGTCTCTGTCTCAGAAAGGGCAGCGACAAATGCGGTCAGGGTGAGGTCACCTGGGTGCTGGCTAAGGAAGTGGTCATGGGCAGTGGCTAGTCGGTCAGGCAGGCACATGGCAATAAGGTACAGGGTGGCGCAAAACGGTGGGGGGAAGGCAGTGAGCTGGCCAGTAGTGCTAGCGGCACGGTAGCTGGTCTCTAGTGCGCGGAGGTGAGTGGCAAGATCAGCAATAGTGGGGAAAGCAGAGAGATCGGTGAAGAGCATGGGGAGGATCAAGCGGCCAGCTGAGGCGGAGGCAGGCATGGAGTAGCGTGCAACTACAGCATCTAGGAGTTCCTTGGCGTTTGCGACAATAGTGAAACGCGGACGCTCAGATAGGGGAAGCGCATGACTAATGGCAAGCTGCGCTACAGCATCGCGAGAATCCCAGACAGCGCGAATGAGCGCAGCAGCAGCAAAGGCCTCACTCTCAGCAGTGGTGGGGTCAGCGGGGAGGGGATCAGGGGCGGAGGGGTGAGGAAGCAAGCCATCAACATGCATAGCCAGGGAGTGCCCATCCTGGCGCTGACCTGTCAGGTGCCGGCAGAGATTGACAAGCCAGGCGGCAAAGTTGATCGCGTGCCCCTCCGCGTCCAGATGGAGCATGGTGTCCGCCATCGGACAACCACAGCGGCACCGGGACACAGCGGCACAGCGGCATAGGGACACAGTGGCACAGCGGCACAGGGACTCATCGGCACAGTGACAGGACTCTTCGGAACTGAATCGAAAGGAAGGCCGAGGAGGGCGCGCGAGGAGTCGAGGCGCACAGGGGGCCGGCGTGTGGAGAGGGGCCGGCAGGGCGCTTGGGGCCGGAGGTGCGTAGGAGAGGGACCGGCTAGGTGGCAGGGGCCGGCTAGGTGGTAGGGGCCGGCTAGGAGGTAAGGGCCGGCTAGGAGGTAGATGCCGGCTAGGAGGTAGGGGCCGGCTAGGAGGTAGGGGCCGGCTAGGAGGTAGGGGCCGCCTAGGAGGTAGGGGGCCGGCTAGGTGAGGGGCCGGCTGGGTGCAAAGGGCCGACTAGGTGCGAGGGGCCGGCTAGGGGCGAGGGGCCAGCAAGGCGCGAGGGGCCAGCTGGGGCGCAAGGGGCCGGTCAGGCACGAGGGGCCAGTGAAGCGTGAGGGGCCAGCTAGGGCGCGAGGGGCCAGTCAAGCGCGAGGGGCCAGCGACGGCGCTAGGGGCGGGCGATGGCGCGAGGGGCCAGCTAGGGCGCGAGGGGCCAACGAAAACGCGAGGGGCCGGTGAGGCGTGAGGGGGCGGCTAGGGCGCGAGGGGCGGCCCGGCTGGTCGCGAAGGGGCCGGCTGGGCACTAGGGGCGGGCGACGACGCGAGGGGCCAGCTAGGGCGCGAGGGGCCAGCGAAGGCGCGAGGGGCTGGCGGTGTCGCGAGGGGCGGGCCGGCTGGTCGCGAAGGGGCCGGCTGGGCGCTAGGGGCGGGCGACGACGCGAGGGGCCAGCTAGGGCGCGAGGGGCCAGCGAAGGCGCGAGGGGCTGGCGGTGTCACGAGGGGCAGGCCGGCTGGTCGCGAAGAGGCCGGCTAGGAGTCAAGGGGCCGGCTAGGGCGCGAGGGGCCGACGGGCACGCTAGGGGCCGGCTACGGCACGAGGGGACGGCGGGCACACTAGGGGGGCGGCGGGCGTGCTGGGGGGCCGGCGAGGCGCGGTAGGCTAGGGCGGGGGGCGGAAGCGGGGGGGGGGACCTAACCTACGCATGATACCATGTTAGAATACTAGAATGGATTGAAACAAGAGAGAACAAGCAAGGTATAGGATTGGAGTTGTACTCTCTAAGAACATACCCTATCTAGCCTATAAATTCGACATACTAACAGATGTATAAGTTGACATCGAATCCCTAGCAAGGTCGGGATTACGGTAAATTCTTTTATCATTTCCAACAGGAAGGATAACAGCCTGATATCAGCTATGTACAAAGCTGTTAAAACACTTATCAAGCAGGTTTACACTCAGCAGGAGCAGAGGCACTAGCAAGGCTCACAAGGCGAACAGAATCAGCAGCAACGGAGGGGGAGTCGGTATTGCGGTACCACTCCCAATCCGCCTCCCCTGCACTCGCCCCATCCACTTTCAACATAGCAAAGCCAAAGGCTGCCTGGCGGAAGGCCGACCATGCGGGCTTAGGGGAGGTGAAGCTGAGGAAGGAAGGGGAGGGAGAAGAGAGGAATGGGAGGGAGAAGAGAGGAATGGGACGGAGAAGAGAGGAATGGGAGGGAGAAAGAGGAATGGGAGGAGAGGAAGGAGTTGATGCTTCCAATCAACCTCTCCCCTGCCGTGCTGTCAACGGCTGCCTGCCGGAAGACCGATCCTGAAGGCTGGGGGGAGATGACGCTGAGGAGGAGGTGAGGAGGGGGAAATGAGGGGGGAAAGATAGTGGAGATAGGAGGCAAAGAGAGGGGAAAAGAAGGGGGTGCCGGAGGGAGAGACGTGCACACCCTCGACCGTTGTGCATTGATAGGTGCTCCATGCGAACTGATAGTTACTGACATGCAGTTTTGAGGCGCCTGAAAACTGGACTGGACTCAACAGCTTGTGTACAATGAGTACCGGCATCCATCCATAGATGCTCTGTGCGAACTGATAGCAACAGGCACACACCTAGTATGCAGGTTCGAGTTGACTCAAAAGGCGTGCATACGCTTGCATAGATTCTCCGTGTGAACTGGTAGCTACAGGCACTCACCTAGCACGCAGACCCATTTCACATTCGCACCCTAGGTAGATTAGGAGGGAATAAGGCACACACGCACCTAGGATAGAGGTCCTTCCCCCCACTCCCCACGGTGATGTGAATGATCCCACAGGCGTCCTCCTGACCATTGTAGATGCGAGTCTGAGCAGGCGATCACCGGGAGCAGAAGGGGCGAATCATGGGGAGACATTAAGGTGATCGCCTGCTAGATTGATTGATAGCCATTGTGGGGAAATATGTGGCGCTTGGAGTCGGCTCAGAAGCCACACACCGTCCTCTCATATGCATGCACGCGGCCCATGTGATAAGAGACTTGTTTTGAGACGTCTCGAAACTCAGTAAGGACTCACCGTCCTCTCATATGCGCGCATATGGCCGGTGATCAGCATGTCGACTTGTGAGAGGTCATCGTAGGCCACCTCATCATATGCAGTCCATCACATCATATGCCCCAACTCAGTAAGACTCACCGCCCTCTCATATGCATGCACATGGATGGCCCATGTGATAAGCGACTTGTCTTGAGATGTCTCAAACCTTAGTAAGGACTCACCGTCCTCTCATATCCGTGTGCATGGCCCTAGATATGAGAGACTTGTTTTGAGTCTTTGAGATGTCTCAAAACTCAGTAGGGACTCACCGTTCTCTCATATGCGTGCACATGGCCGGTGATCAGCATGTCAACGCGGGCGGCGTAGAGCGTCTTTTCCAGAGCTTTCCGCATGGCCTGTCCATCTGTCTGGTGGTCCGTGTTGGAGTGGTACCACGGCTCGTGCAGCGATGCTATCAACCAAGGGGTCTTCGATCGGTCCACACTGGATAGGTCTTTCTGCAAGGGGGGGAATAGAAGGCAGAGTAGTGCAAGTGAGTACGTGGTGGTCGGTGTTGGAGTGGTACCATGGCTCGTGCAGCGATGCTATCAACCAAGGGGTCTTCGATCGGTCCACACTGGATGGGTCCTTCTGTTAAGGTAGCAAGGGGTAGGGGAGGAATACAGATAGATTCAGGGCGGTGAGTCGATGACAATGGTCTAGGGCACGGCACGGTCTCTAGCTGTCTGTCTGATGGTCGGTGTTGGAGAGGAGCCACAGCTCGTGCAGCGATGCTATCAACCGAGGGGTCTTTGATCGGTCCACACTTGAGAGGTCTCTCTGAGAGGTGCAGCGAGGTGATAAGCCAGGGGGTCTTTGATCGATCAACGTCAGATTGGTCTTTCTGGTGGGGGAGGATAAAGATGGATGCAGAGTGGTGAAAATGGGTGAAGGGCATCGCCTGTCTGTCCGTCTGGAGGTCGGTGTTGGAGTGGTACCATGGCGCGAGCAGCGATGCTACCAGCCAGGGGATCTGCGAAGTATCCACACTTGATAGGTACGGTGCAGAGGGAGGGGTACAGATAGGTGCAGAGCGGTGAACCTGGGTGCACAAGCATGGCATGGCATTAACTCTTCGTCGACTAATGCTCCAAAGAAAAGATCGATTGCTAGTTTTGTGCATAAGGCATGAGAAGTGCCCAAAAACATTTCTGTTTGAAGAGAGGGCTTACCTCCAGCCATTTCTGTTGCTTGGAGTCGGGTCCGAAGGGGGAGTAGCAGGAGAGCACGACGAAATGCACCCCGGCCACTTCAAATCAAACGAGTTGTAAAGCAGAGAAATTGACCTGCTAGCAGCGTGTGGAGCACCCGATTGGACTCACCTGCAGCCATTTCTGTTGCTTGGAGTTGGGCCCGAAGGGGGAGTAGCAGGAGAGGACGACGAAATGCACCCCGGCCACTTCAAACGAGTAGTACAGCTTGGAGGGTGACCCGCTAGCAGCAGAAGGCATGACCCACCGCTTCTTATACGATAAAAAAGCACCGCTGTTTAGCAAAGCGGATCGCTTAAGAAACCCGGGCCACTCGAACCCCTTGGGGCTGATCCCACTAAGTGCCTCGGATTCGTGATTCCCAGGGACTACCATCCAGGGGTGCGTGCTGGCGTCTGGCTCAATCAGCCTCTGCCACCTGTCCCACAGGTATTGGAAGCCGTTGGCGTAGGAGAGGTCTCCAGGGACGAGGGTGAGGGCGTGGGGCTGCTGGGCGATGCGCTCTAGGGTGGTGCGAGCTGCGTTGGAGAGACCAATGTCGCCTGGGAATACGTGGGAGGGAAGGAGGGATGGGGGGAAAGGGAACCCAAGGGACGAGCGGATGAGAGTAAGGGAGTGGGGCTGCTGGGAGACGCGCTCTAGGGTGGTGCGAGCTGCGTTGGATAGACCAATGTCGCCTGGAGCAGAGAAAGGGGGTGCAAGGGGTGAGAGAATGAGAGGTCGCCAGTGACGAGGGTGTGGGGCTGCTGGGAGATGCGCTTTAGGGAGGTCCGCATTGGAGAGCCCGATGTCACCTGGGAATGAGAGGGAGGGATGGCGGGAGGGGGGAAAGGGAGGCCGAGGGACGAGAGTGAAGGAATGGGGCTGCTGGGAGAGACGGCTGATGGTAGTACGAGCTGCCTTGGAGGGACTAAATTCGTCTGTAGGAAGAAGAGCGTCGGGTGTGGCGACAGGGTAAGGAGTGGATACAGGTGAGGTGGAGGGAACGGAAGAGAGGGAGGGGGGCTGCAGGAGAGGGGGTTGAGTTGAGGTGGAGGGTGGTCTGTCCGTGCTGCCTAGAAGTGGAGAGCTTTTGACTCGACTCAACAGCTGAGGGACTGAGAGAGAGGGAGGGCGGCTGCTGGAGAGGAGGTGAGGGTGGTCCGTCCGTGCTGCCTTGAAGAGGAGAGGAAAGGGTGAAGCGGAAAGGGTAAGGAGCGAAACGAGAAATGGGTGAAGGGGAAAGGTTGAGGACAAGGGGAAAGGGTAAGGACAAGGGGAAATGGATAAGGACAATGGGAAATGGATAAGGACAATGGGAAATGGATAAGGGCAATGGGAAATGGTTAAGGACAATGGGAAATGGATAAGGGCAATGGGAAATGGGTAAGGACAATGGGAAATGGATAAGGACAATGGGAAATGGATAAGGGCAATGGGAAATGGTTAAGGACAATGGGAAATGGATAAGGGCAATGAGAAATGGATAAGGACAATGGGAAATGGATAAGGACAAGGGGAAATGGATAAGGACAATGGGAAATGGATAAGGACAATGGGAAATGGATAAGGGCAATGGGAAATGGATAAGGGCAATGGGAAATGGATAAGGACAATGGGAAATGGATAAGGGCAATGGGAAATGGATAAGGACAATGGGAAATGGATAAGGACAATGGGAAATGGATAAGGGCAATGGGAAATGGTTAAGGACAATGGGAAATGGATAAGGGCAATGAGAAATGGATAAGGACAATGGGAAATGGATAAGGACAAGGGGAAATGGATAAGGACAATGGGAAATGGATAAGGACAATGGGAAATGGATAAGGACAATCGGAAATGGATAAGGACAATGGGAAATGGATAAGGGCAATGGGAAATGGATAAGGACAATGGGAAATGGATAAGGACAAGGGGAAATGGATAAGGACAATGGGAAATGGATAAGGACAATGGGAAATGGATAAGGACAATCGGAAATGGATAAGGACAATGGGAAATGGATAAGGACAATGGGAAATGGATAAGGACAATGGGAAATGGATAAGGACAATGGGAAATGGATAAGGACAATGGGAAATGGATAAGGGCAATGGGAAATGGATAAGGGCAATGGGAAATGGATAAGGACAATGGGAAATGGATAAGGACAATGGGAAATGGATAAGGACAATGGGAAATGGATAAGGACCATGGGAAATGGATAAGGACAATGGGAAATGGATAAGGACAACGGGAAATGGATAAGGACAATGGGAAATGGATTAGGACAAGGGGAAAGAGGTGAGTGGAAACTGTAAGTGGGATACGGCAGTGAGAGGCCGGGAATTGGCTCAACCCCCCAAACTCATCGCCATCCCACTGCTCACGTCATCACTCACCAGCAACAGCGATGCTGACATCAGCAGCGGCATCGGTAGGCGGCGTTTCAAAGGATCGTTCCGGCCCCTCCCCGGCAATGCGATAGTAGTAGGCGGTGGCTGGTTCAAGGTTCGATAGCACTGCGCTGTGAAGCTGGTCGGACCTGCACAGATGCAGGGGTGGGTGGGGCAGGAAATGCAGCAAGGTGACCTGTGAGGATCGTTCTGGCCCCTCCCCTCCCCGGCAATGCGATAGTAGTAGGCGGTGGCTGGTTCAAGGTTCGATAGCACTGCGCTGTGAAGCTGGTCGGACCTGCACAGATGCAGGGGTGGGTGGGGCAGGAAATGCAGCAAGGTGACCTGTGAGGATCGTTCTGGCCCCTCCCCTCCCCGGCAATGCGATAGTAGTAGGCGGTGGCTGGTTCAAGGTTCGATAGCACTGCGCTGTGAAGCTGGTCGGACCTGCACAGATGCAGGGGTGAGTGGGGCAGGAAATGCAGCAAGGTGACCTGTAAGGATCGTTCTGGCCCCTCCACTCCCCGGCAATGTGATAGTAGTAGGCGGTGGCTGGTTGTAGGCCTGATAGCACTGCGCTGTGAAGCTGGTCGGACCTGACAGGTGTGGGAGTGGGGGGAAGAGGGTGGAAGCCGTGGGGATTTAAGAAAGATCTTTCTGGCTTCTCTCTGGCGATGCGATAGTAGTACGTGGTGGCTGGTTCAAGGTCTGAGAGCACTGTGCTGTGAAGCTGGTCGGGCCTGTGGAAGAAAGACGGAGAATTGGGGAAGGAACAGGGTTGGGGGAGGAAGGGGGAGGATGGGAGAGGAAGGGGGAGGAAGGGGGAGGAAGGGGGGAAAAAGGGGAGGGTGGGCTGTACAAATTGTCTTTTGGCCCTTCGCCGGCAATGCTATGGTAGTAGCTGGTGGCTGGTTGAAGGCCGGGCAGCACTGCGCTGTGGAGCTGGTCTGCCTGCCCTGCATAGACGTAAAGGCGGAGCACTTAATGGGAGAAGGAAGCTAGAAAAGGGAAAGAACGAGCATGAAAGAGGCAAGTAGAGCAAAGGAAGTGCATCGCTGTAGGAGAAAGAGAGAGAGAGAGAGAGAGAGAGAGAGAGAGAGAGAGAGAGAGAGAGAGAGAGAGAGAGAGAGAGAGAGAGAGAGAGAGAGAGAGAGAGAGAGAGAGAGAGAAACAAACAAACATTTTTCCAGTGTACTTACCAGTAGGTCAGGAAGGTGTAGCTGGAAGACTTCCCCTTCGCCTTGCTGGTGTATTGCCCAGAATTTACCCCAAATTCCACCACAGATGGTGCGTTGCGGCGAGACGTTGACCACATGACTCGGATGCTGTTGGGTCCGGCTAAGGCTATGTGCACCTGGAGAATGGGAATGGGCGAGGGTCGAGAAAAAAAGAAAGGAAGAAAGAAAAAAAGACAGGCAGCAATGGGAACGTACATGAATAGGGAGCAACCTCAAATAGAAATGGACAGTAGCAGGAGGGGAGAGGAATGGAAAAGGAAGGAAGGAAAGGACCAGGAAGGAACGGACCAGGAAGGAACGGACCAGGAAGGAACGGACCAGGAAGGAACGGACCAGGAAGGAACGGACAAGGAAGGAACAGGGAGCGATCTGAGGGCAGAGAGACTTGAGAGCAGAGGGATTTGAAAGCAGAGTGATTTGAGGAAAGAGTAATTTGAGAGCAGAGAGCCCCGCACATGCAGGTCATCATGTGCGATACACTGCACACGGAGCCTAGCGCAGTCACAGCACAAAGAGGTGGGGCAAATCACCACAGGGGGGCCTTCCAGCTACACCTGCCTGGGCACTGGGGGGAATCAGAAAGACTCCCTCGTTCCAAGCTCACCCGCCGGTCATTTTTGAGTCGACTCAAAAATCACTTCTGGCTACTGGGGGGCATACAGCGAGACTAGCACACTCCAAGCTCACCCGTCGCCCACCTGCTGTGGTTTCTTGGACCCCCACAAGCCGAGCAGCGAGCGCCGTTCCCCGATCCACTCAGAAACGCCCTCCGCCTCTGACGGACCGAGATGATAGGCGCCTATGCTCTTCCCGTCCGGACGGGGATCAGGCAGGGAGTTTTTGTGTGGCTGGCCGGCGCCGCTGGCGGTGCCAGATGCAAGCGAGCCTCGGAAAGTTGTACAGAGGGAGAGTGAAACGAGGAGGAGGAGCTGGGTGAACAGAGCGAAGGATGAGGTTCGGCTCGAACCTTGTCCGGAGGCTCGGCATCTCGCTCCTCTGGCACGGTACTTGGAACGTTGTTCTGAGTGGCTGACAGGCAGTGTGACTGTACAGAGGTCTTGACGTTCTACCGAGAAATGCCGAGTATCTAGTGTGACTGTACAGAGGCTGTCGAGCATCACGCGAAGCACTGAACCTGGACGCATTGTGGGAAACTCAAGCGGTTACAGGCCGAGCTACTAGCAGGAGACCGAGAGGTTTCCCCAAATGCTGCAGTCGGCACAGCAGCTGATAAGGCGAGTACAGGGTCGGCAATAGGGCACCAGAGCCTCGTAATCGTAACAATCGCCGCAAATTTCACAGGGAGAAATCGTGGAGCTTAGAGTAGGTACCTCGAAAGCCGGAGCCAGAGGTCCGTCAGACGGTCGCCGACTAGAAGCAAATGCTCTACGTCCGTCTGATATAGTGGCTTTATGGTGCCTGATGTCTCAAGCAAGAGAAGGGGGAGGAGTGAAGGGGTTCTGGAGGATGAAATTGGCGGAATCCGAGAAATAGCGGCGCCGAAGCCTACTCGAATGCATAGCAAACATGGCCTCGTTCCTCGTTTTATAGCTAGTCGTTCGTTCGTGTGTCGTCCGTCGGACTAATATGATCGTCTGGTCAAATCGTGTGGCACACGAAAAGCGATGCGAGGCTCCAAAAGGCTTTCGTGTTGGGGTACTGGAACCTAGGGACTATCCGCGACACGCTCAATCTCACACACGAAGCCTAGAGGGTTGCTGGTCTCTCGGGGCATTCCATTGGTCAGTCGCAGGCACTGCGCCTCGGCATAATCGAGGGTCTGTCTGTCTACTCTATTCTAGGAAGCGGGAAATGGGAAGACCCACCTTGGGTTCCCCAATTTGCGGCTCCAGTTTCCGCCGCCCAGAAAATCAGGTTCGGTGCTGTGGGATGTTTCTGTCGGTAGGTACTGTTTGCGGTTATGGAAGGTTGGTGAATGGTTCTGCATGGTGCGCTGCGCTGCGCGGGCTTCGCTGACGCCGTCCGCTACGATCGCGAGAGTTTCGGCCATGCGAAGCTCCGGCTCAGGTGTGTCGGACGGCAACAGCGGGGATGCATCGTTGCGACGTGTCATAGCACTGGGGGATTGCGAGTAACTCATGAGCTGCGATTTCGCGAACAGACGACACATGGCAAGCCATTCAAGACCTCGTTTCACTGAAGCAGACCTTCTACCAGAAAGAAGTGGGTGTGTGTGACGTGAAGGCTGGGAAAACTCCGCGTCAAAACGTCACAATCCACAAGGTTCAGAATTTGGATGCGTTTCCAGCCTTAGTTGCAACACGTACCAGCATTCCCCTTCTTCAGTGCGTTTCTTCGGGCTCGGATGCAGAAACGAAGCGAACTTGAACCATAGATGCGAAGTTCGCAGCCCATAATTAAATTGCATCACAAAACTGATCCAAGCCTGGCATACCCCTACTCTACCACCATTTCCCCATTTTCCACATGTTTCACAATGTTTTCGGTTCAATGCATTCAGCAGTTATTGGGATTCCCAAATTCAATTGTATCTGTGCACCACCGCCGCTTGATTCGAGATCGGCTTAGTGTTTCCTTCCCGCTGTGACGTCGATCTTATTACAATGGCGTCGGCAACCGATGTACTTTTGGAGGAGATTACAGGCGTAACGATGAGATTAGCCATTCGATTTGACGATATGCGGTTGGATTTAGAGGACAAACAGAACCAGAGGAGAGAAAGGATCAACGAGAGAGTGGAAAGCGTGAAAGAAGTGATGGAAGGTTTGAGGGATAGAGTGGTAGATTTGGAAAGAAGCTTGGAAGCAGCAAGTAGGGCGAGCGGAAGCAGCATTACCGAGCTTATGAATAAGCTTGCTCGTGAGACGGACAAGCAGGAGAAGGATGCGGAAGTGGCTACACTGGTAGAACGATTATCGCAGGCAGAAATAGCGAGGGAAAGGGAGATGGCCGCACTCACAGCACAAGTATCGCAATTAGAAACAGAGAAGGAAGAGAAGACGGCCGCACTTACAACACGCATATCTCAATTAGAGACAGAGAAGGATAAGGTTGCACTTACAGCACGATTATCACAAATGGTGACAGCGAAGGAGCAGGAGGTGTCTACACTGACAGCACGATTATCGCAAATAGAGAAAGACAGGGAAAATGAGGTGGCTACATGGACAACACGATAATAGCAGGCAGAGATAGTGCTGATACAGCAAAAGGAAGAAATGAGAAAGACTTGGGAGGTGAGCATGTTTGTGTTTATGCGTTTAACAAATGGAGTATAATCTCGACTCTTAAAATTTTTGTCGTCGATGATACTATTTATAAATGCGCAGCTTTTTGTTTCAGGCAATTCCATTGGCTTCTTGGCAGCAAACAACCGATGCAGAGATGAAGATCATCTGTATCGAGTCTGATACGACGAATTTTGAGCTCAGTAATCTTGAACCCGTAACCGCCATTGGCTGTTTTCGCCTCTCCTGCATGACATCCCTGAAGAGCCTTAGCATATGCGGATCGGTGAATGAAAACGCCTTCAAATACCTTTCATGAATGATATTATGTGGAGGAGCTGAACCGGCAACCGACCAAAGTTAACGATTCAGTGGTTCTGGGAATCAGCCTTTTGCCAAAACTTCAACGACTTGTACTGATCGCAACTGCAGTTACAGAAGCCGGCCTTGCCCATTTGACATCCCTTAGATCTCTTCAAGAGCTTGTTCTCTCTCGCAGCTATACCTGTTCATGTTCCTGTAATATCACTACTTTCTCATGTGCAGGCATGGCAAATTTGCACAGGCTAACGGGGCTTCAAACTTTGGATCTTGGACATTCGTTGGTGTCAGATGGAGTACTACCATACCTTCGGCCTTTGACAAGATTGTCTTTGCTCTGCCTTCCAGAATACATCACTGAAAAGGGACTGCAACATCTGACATCCTTCATGTTCCTCAAGTCTAAGTCTCATTTTGGTGAATATGGCATGGAGTGCTTGAAGGCTCTTCTCACCCTTGAGGATGTTGGACTAGCAAATGGATGGATGGTAGATAGAGTGAAGAAGGCTCTTGTTTTTTACTGCAAAAAGTAGGTTTGTGTGATATGTCTGTCTGCTTGTCCTGGACCTCTTTTTGATTTCAGTTTGTTGGAAATTATAAATGAACCGAAGGCATTTCCTGAGTCTCGTGTGAGTGTTCGAATATGCGAAGACTGCAACAACGAGGATCACCGAGTCAACACTACTACATTATCACCTATGGTTGACACATGTTGACGACACCTCATAGAGGTTACGAAAGGGCAAGGGTCGCAGACCGTTGACCGGGCAACCCAACAGTCAAAATCACAAGAGTCAAGAGTTGGCGCAACAGTAATGACAAATAACCTGTCAAAACATATCATCTTTGTATGCCGTTATAGACTACACAGGGTTGCTAGGTGACGGGGCCTCGTGGCCCCGCAGCCCCGTCACCTAGCGGCCCCCCGACCCCGTCACCTAGCGGCCAAGCAACCCTGTCACCTAGCCGCCCCGTGGCCCCGTCCCCTAGCGGCCCCGCGGCCCCGTCACCTAGTGGCCCCGCGGCCCCGTCACCTAGCAACCCCGCGGCCCCGTCACCTAGCGGCCCCGCGGCCCCGTCACCTAGCGTACCCGCGGCCCCGTCACCTAGCAACCCTGCGGCCCCGTCCCCTAGAGGCCCCGCGGCCCCGTCACCTAGCGGCCCCGCGGCCCCGTCACCTAGCGGCCCCGCGGCCCCGTCACCTAGCGGCCCCGTGGCCCCGTCACCTAGCGGCCCCGCGGCCCCGTCACCTAGCGGCCCCGCGGCCCCATCACCTAGCGGCCTCGCGGCCCCGCGGCCCCGTCACCTAGCGGCCCCACGGCCCCGTCCCCTAGCCGCCCGCGACCCAGTCGCCTAGCCGCCCGTGGCCCCGTCGCCTAGCCGTCTCGTCGGCCCCGTCGCCTAGCAGCCCGCGGCCCCCATCTTCGAGCCGCCTAGCCGGCCTCATCGCCGAGCCGTCCGTGGCCCCGTCGCGTCGCCGATCAGCTGGCTTCGTCGCCTAGCCGCCCGCGGCCCCGTTCTCTAGCCGTCCTGGCCGACCCCGACGCTCAGCCGCCCGCTGCTCCGTCGCCTCGCAACCACGTCGGCCCCTCCCACCGCACTACTCCGTACTCTACCGCACTGCACCGTGCTCCACCATACTGCCCCGCTCTTTACCGCACCGCACCGCTCACCACTGCTCCCTGTCGCACTCCTTCGCTCAGTTTAGCCCACTACCGCCTGTCAGCTGCTGCAGCGACCAGGATGGCGGACTCGAAGCTGCGCTTTGCCTCGGAGGGTCAGCCAGTTGAGTCGATATGTGGCTCGTTGACCTCCGCCGTCACCTCACTGGTCAACGGCAGGATGGCCACTCCATGGCCGTCCACCTCGACGGTACGCTACCTTGTCCTGACCCCCCTGCTGCTCTACCCGCTGACCCCACGTCTGCTGACCGTGAGTCCGCTGCCGCTGGTGCCCTTGCCTGTGCTGTCTGGTTGTTGCGTGACGCTGTCGCACAGCTCGTGATTAGTCATGCCCTCCCCCTGTCTGAACGCCCCCACTTTCGGTCGATCAGGACTGCGCAGGAGTTCCTAGAGGTAATTGTCGCCCGCTATTTCAACCTGCCCTCAGCCTCTGTCGGTCGCCTGATCCTGCCCATGCTCTTTCCTGATCTCGCGTCCTTCTCCACTGTCGCTGACCTCGCCACGCACTTGCATACGCTAGACTCGATTTGGCGCGCTGCCTGCACTGAGGCACAGCTTAGTGTGTTTCAGCCCCCCATGTGCTCCACCCTCTACCTGCTTGCCACCTGCCTCCCTGACCGCCTTGCTACTGCCCGCGATCACTTCTTAGTCTCCACCCCGCAGACCTCACCCTCACTGACTTTGTCGACACCCTGTCTGCTATAGAGACTCGTCAGTGCTCTATCGCCCAGTATAGCGGTACTGCACCAGTCCCAATCTTTCAGGGTTGTGCCCCCGCTCAGTGCACTTACTCTGACGGTTCTGTTGCTGTCACTGAGATAGCCCCTGCCGCGGAGACAACCGCCACAGCGCAGTTTCTTCCGGGTAAGGGTGGCCGCCCCAAGACTGGGTGCGGCGGAGGTAGCGGAGGAGGGGGTGGCGGCGGGGGTGGAGGTGGTTCACCCGCTGGTATTTCCGACGAGGGCGCAAGGGCTGGTGCCTCGGAGCAGCAGCAGCAGGCGTCGCCGCACCAGCAGCACCAGGAGCAGCAGTAGCAGTCACAGCAGTGGCGGGTCGGCCGTCTACCGCCTGGGTGGCCAGGCACTGGTGGTGGAGGTGGTCGCAATGGTCGTGCGCGCAGCTTGTCGTTGGGTGGTGGTGCGAGTGACAGGCACTGCCAGTACCACCTCCAGACCGCACCTCACCGCGGCCTCATGTGTGGTAAGATCGACCATACCCCCACTCGTTGTTTTAGTCGCCTAGACGACCTGTTTCGTCTCCGCTTCGGCCCGGTGCCTGACCTCTTTGACTGGCACAGTCTGCTCCGCCATGGTGTTAGGATCTTTGATATGGACATGGACGAGCTTAGCTTTGCATTGTATGTACTGTATATCGATGACTCTAGTGTGACTAGTTCTTATTACCCCTTGTTGCCCAGTGTATGTGTGCCTAGTTCAGGCTCCCCTGCTGCGTCAGGCGTAGGATCCCTTGCTTTGTTTGGCCTTGGCTCCACCCTTGCTCCTCCGACCCTTGCCGCCACTGCAGCTCTCTCCTTCACCCTGGACTCCGGCTCTTCCCCGTGTTTCTTTCGGGACTCCACTACGCTTACGCCGCTTGCCGCTCCCGCCGCAGT